GCAAGAGCGTTTCGATTCTGGGTGTCCTTGAAGCGGGATGCTGCTTTGGAAGAGCGATCAGCTCTCCCCCGGGGCAAAAAAAAAAAAAAACAAAACAAAAAAAAAAACAAAAAAACAACAGAGTTTCCTCAGTGCTGTGCTCGCTGGAGCGTTTTCTCTGAGCTTGGTTCTCCCCGCACGTCCAAGGCTGGGCAGGGGCTGGCTGCCAGGCTGCTGTTTTCTGCTCCCGGCCTTTTGTAGTTCAAGCAGAAAGGAGCTGCGTGTGGGTTTCCCTTATCCACCCCTCCCACCAAACCTAAAGGACAAATGCAGTCTCCTTCGGTTCATTGCACTGCAGCACCATACAGTGGAAACCTCAGCAGGCTTAGCGACAGGTAAATTGACAGTAGGAGTGATGGAACGGACCATTTCTCTGCATTGGTCAGACCCCCTCTCGGTTATCCTGAGTGTTACAGGTGAAGAGACCTTTCCTGGGTAGACGAGCAAAAGCAGTAGGAGTTGATTGCTTTCCCCTTTTGCTTAAAAGAGCTTTCAGGCATGCCAGACCTGTAGTATATTTCAAGTAAAATTAAATGGATAAAAGGCAACACTTATAGGTTTGAACAGAAATATAGTTTGCAGTTTTCTTAATTTCGGGGTGTTTTAAATAATGGAAGGCAAGGCAAGGACTGAGACCTATCACTATACAAAATAGCAACTACTTACTGCTGTCAGGTATCCTGTTCAGGTGTCCTGTTCAGTTGTGTTTCCTTCCCCTACTATCTAATATTGCACACACTTGCTGTATATCTATATCCGTACAGAGTTCTTTCACAGGCTTAATGACAGCTCTCAAAACCTTGCTTTGCTCTTTTAAACTTGAGACCAGTCTGAGTTCACTTCTTGCAGATGCATGCATCAAGAAGGGGTCCCAGACAAAAGCTGTCCCTTTGAAGACTGAAATTCAAGTTTAACTTACATCTTCTTTTAGTGACTTTTTTTTTTAGTTAGGAGTCTGTCTTTCATTTGTTCATATTTCCTACTTTTCTTCCCTTCTTGATAAGGGAAATGTGTTCTGATGAGAGGAAATGGAAGTGTGTTAGAGGTGTTTTCTGTCTGTGAATTTCAATATCAAACGTTACTACAGGGGTTTTTTAAGTCCTAAATCTGATTTTACTGTATTTACTGTATTTACTTCTCTCCCTAGTGTCCAAAAATCAACATGTCTAGCAAAAAGGCAAAGACAAAGACCACCAAGAAGCGCCCTCAGCGTGCCACTTCCAATGTATTTGCAATGTTTGATCAGTCACAGATCCAAGAGTTCAAGGAGGCCTTCAACATGATTGACCAGAACAGGGATGGCTTCATTGACAAAGAGGACTTGCACGATATGCTCGCCTCCCTTGGTAACGTCTTGAGAGAGGGGAGGGGAGTTCTACCACTTGTCTATCTAACTAATAAATCTCTCATGTATAAATAGAATCATAAAACATTTGCTAGGCTGCTGCACTGGGCTCTGGGGTCTGTTATCATGACTCTCAGCTGTGAATAGAAGTGATGATGTTTTCTGAAAAATGTCACCTGTATAAATTAACAGTTTTGCTCACATAGCTGATCTTTTCTTGAGGTTTTTTTAAGCTATGTATATGTTTACTGTAGGAAAGAATCCAACGGATGAATACCTAGATGCCATGATGAATGAGGCTCCAGGCCCCATAAACTTCACAATGTTCCTCACGATGTTTGGTGAGAAGTTAAATGGCACTGATCCAGAAGACGTAATCAGGAATGCTTTTGCTTGCTTTGATGAAGAAGCAACAGGTATGTGAATGAAACTCAGCCACTTGGCAAGGGCAGAGGGGTGTATTTCTATGTTGTTTATTTGGGTTTCTAAATACTATGCTGATTTTTGCACCTTTATAAATGAAGTATGACATAGTAATCCTTCTAGATGGCATATTCTGCCAAGTAATGAGATTTTATTTCTGAGAGTAAAAACTATGGCTGTTCTGTGTGAGTATGAGGACAAGTAGTAATGCTCTTCTGGCTTTGAAGAAGAGTGTTTTAACTATGTATGTTACTCAACTTGCAAAATAAGATGAATTTGCTCTGAGAAGATGAGGAATTCAAAATGGTAATATGTGATTTTCTATGGCATTGAAAAGGTGACAAGTGTGAAATGAGATTCATCTGAATTCTTTGATGTATTTAATATTTCAGGACAGGCTGCCCAGACTATGTAAACTCTATTGAACTCTTATCTTGCCTAGTGTATGTTATGTCTCTGACAAATGCCATGTGTCATGCTCTCACCCACAGCTCAGTTTGCTTTCAGGCTGAGGAAGGGCTGTAGCCTCCATGATCTAAAGATAAAAACAGGGTGGGGTCTAGAAGGCAGAAATGACAGATTGGAATGACTTGCATAGCAAGGTGCGGGGAAGGAGGAAGATGCAGAGTGCAGTTTTACTATATCAGACTTTCAAGGTTGCACCTGTAATCTTGAGGTTAGAGTTCATGCATTTATTTATTTATTCATGTAGGCTAAGATTCCAGAGAAGCATGTAACAACCAGGGATGACTCCTTAGGGTGATTCTGAGGAATTACAGAAGATCAGCGTTTGAACATGTTGTGAACATGTCTTAATAGTATGTGCTGAAATTATGTAGCCTCTGTACTGGAGATGTCATGGCACCTATAACTTTCTTCACAACTGTCCACAGCAATATTTCAATCTAACCTGTGGATATGTGCTCTGAACCTTTCAAAGGATATTATTCCATTTCAAACGAGTATTTTTCATCTGTGTATTTTTAGCACCTTTTACCTTTTTCTGCTGAGTTGTATGTAAACAGGCTTTCTGTTGGTAAGGTCTTTTCAAATGTTAATTGACTTCCTCCCTCTCAAGGGAAATCTCTTTACCATCTCCTAGAGAAGGAAGTTTTGTTATTAGGTTAATTATTTTCTCCCCACAGGTAGTCTGACTCACTATGCTACAGGCTTTTTTTGTATCCTTCAAAACAAGAGCCTGTGAATTAGGATATAAAGAAAATGATTGTGCTACCAGTTCCTTTGAACAGTAGCCGTCTACATCTATGTAAATAATAAGTTACTAGTTCAGGCCCCCATGTACTGATAAGATTGATTTTATTATCTTTCAACTCTGTGTGGTAAATGTTTTAGTCTAGTCCTAGGATGATTTGAGGGTAATGGTTCCACAGTTTCTTTTGTGTCTTATGCCATCCTCAGATTTTAACTAGGAAACATGTTAGATAGTTATGCAGTTTTATTGATTTTTAATTCATAATAGTCAAAATGCAGTGTAATGTAATACACAAAATACTGTGTAATGTATTTGTAGAACCCATGTTATCTTTGCCTTTTGTTAATTTTATTCTCAGATTTGGCTTCTGATCAGTTTGTTCCTTTTAAAAAAGAACAAAAGCATTTCCAGCTATGTCAAATATTTTTTTTTTTTTCTTCCCACTTAATAATCTCCACATGCATGTGTGTTATGGGTCTGATTTTCTAACTCTACATCGGTGTAGTTCTTTTGAAAGAGAATAATACAAATCAGATGTTCTTGATGAGGATAAGGTAGTTGTGCTTCTTGGTTTTTACATTTCCTATGTTGCTAATCTAGTTGGGTATATTGCTTCAGCATTACTGACATATGTAGTACTATGAAATTAGTATAAAAGTTATATCTGTCTGCATGTGGTATATCTTTTGTCTGCTCTTTGATCCTGCATTGTCATCTCTTTTGTGCTGTCTGACAAAGGCTGAACCTTAAATTTTGTTTCACTAATTTGTTGTTCCCCATCTACAGTGACGCTGTGCATGAGGGAGAGTGGGAATGCAGTTTGCTTTACAATTCTGTGCTGCTGAAACTTTTAGTGTATTCCTAGTCTGGCAATTTAGCTCAGTGTTTAAACACCTAGGTGTTCAGACTGAAGCCATTCAGTGCTTGAGGCTAAACTTGCAGCACCAAAGACCTTGCATTCTTTGAATACTATTCCTTATGTCATCTCTCATCACTCTCTGTAGGACTGCAGGAATAGAGAGCCTAATCTGTTTAGCTGGTTTTTCCCCTCCTTTACACACATCAGCAATGAGACAATTCCAAAATTTGACAGGATTAAGATGGGCCTGGCTAACTGGACATTCTCCCTGTTTTTCAAGCAGAACGTTGCTGTTAGCATTCTTCATTTGGAGTCTGTAATCAAGGGCTTCTTTACACTGGCATATGATGCCGTTTTAATTAGCATATGTTTTAACATGTTTTTTTCCCCTTCCCCACAGCATACACCAACAATAATTTTTCATGCTCATTGACTGCCTTTTGGTCCCCTGATTACCTGTTTGGTTTTGTCTCTCTAATTAACTGTTTGCTTAAGTTATTCAACTCTTTCCAAAGCTGAATTTTTTTTTAAATCACATTCTAGTTGAATCTCCATCAGTTGATGTGGGTGTCTACTTATGATTTCCAGCTGTTCTGCAGTTTACATATCTTTTTTTTTTTTTTTAACATACTTCTACCTCCTCTGTTTTGTTATTGATATTTCTCCAACTAAAGTTCAATAACTAATTTCCTTCTCAAATGAAGCAACTATTGTGCCTTTAAAGGCATGACAGGTCTTATTTCAACATTAAGCAGTTTCTGCATTCTTATGTTTACCATTTGTTATGTGCATTCCTTTCTTAATCTCTAAACTTTCCTGGAATTATTTAGCAACTGGTGGTTCTGCCTATCTACTGAAATGGAATTAACAGAACATATTTAGCAACCACTCATTTTTATATCTTTTGTTAATTTCCTCCAAAATATTCTGTTAAAATTTTAGCATAAAATAAATAATATATCCTGCCTTTTTTTGACTAGCTTCTCCACCTCTGCCTCTCCACAGTAAACATTCTTCCTCTCTCCTGAGTTAACTTGCTCAGTCCTGCCTGGAAGTCTTTTCTATTATAAGCTCTCTCCCTGGATGCTTGCCAGCAGTTCACTGCAGCCACGTAAACTGCCTCCAGCAACAGCATTGTGCAGCAGTGAAGAGCCAACCAGTGGTTATTTAGTCCCTAGAGGAAACTAGTTTATAAAGGACATGAAAATATATGTAATTAAGTCAAGAAAAATGTAATTCAATTAAGAGAACAACTTCTGTAATGAAGACTAGCAGTGACAGCAACTTGTTTTTCCACTTTGAGCTGTTGAAGATCAGTAGATGGAAATAGGTATTATTAGATCACAGTAGATCAGGCCCTCTTTTCAAAAATATGTATGAAATGCATCAAACTTCCCTCTCTTCCCCTTTGCATTCAAGGAATTTCTTTAGAATTCAATTAATAAAATATTTTGGGCTCTTGGTGCAAATGCATATAGGACATGCTGTAGTAGTTAATTGCATGTCTGTTGGTATGGCTGTCTGGGAAACAGCTTCCCTTTTGTACATGTCATTGCAGGGTTCATCCAAGAAGACTACCTGCGAGAGCTGCTGACAACAATGGGAGACAGGTTCACAGATGAAGAGGTAGATGAGCTGTACAGAGAGGCACCCATCGACAAAAAGGGGAATTTCAACTACATTGAATTCACGCGCATCCTGAAACACGGAGCAAAAGACAAGGATGACTGAGTAAAGCTCCTGATACCTGCAGATAGGTTTGTTTTTGTTTTTTTTCCCCCCAGTAATTTTATTTCTCAGGATCTGTTTTTTCTTTTTTTCTTGCTGGGACCTTTTGCATACATTTTTAACATTCCAGCTTTTTCCCCTGTGGACTCTGGGGCTGCTCAGGCACACCTGCATCTGTGTAATAAGACTGGAAATGAGCAGGGAGAGAGGATGGCTTACAGGGATAGAGGTTTAGGGACAAAGATCCATGAGTGTGGACACCCAGGTAAAAATGTCAGTGCTACTCATCCTAGCTAGATTTTTAAATTTTTAATGGTAACTTTGCAAATAAAACTCTGCTATATTAAGTATGTCATTAAAATTTCCATGGTAGAAGTGCACTGTTTATCTAATCGTATCTGTAAATCTTTTTGCAACTGTATGCAGTTGTGCTGTTAACTTTTTGCCTTAAAAATGAAGCATAAGTCACTTAAGCATACTGATTTTTGTATTTCAGCAACTGAGCATTTACTGCTGAGAGTATATACAATTCAGAAGCTCCCATCCTTCGAATTTTAGTGAACTGTAAATTAATGATTTCTGTCCTAGACTTGCACATTAAAAATATTAAATCTTATCGATGTAATTGAGGGAGTATTTTACTGCCTTAATGCCTCCATTTCTCAACACTGAGTAAAATATTAATATTGCTTTTAAAAAACCTATGTTTTTTATCATATTTAATCCTAGTATCTTTAAAAAAATCCCATGTATGAGAAGAATGGTTGAGTGATGCCTCTTACCAGATTTGTAGAACTGACAATAGAACTGACATTTAATTGCAACCATTTATTTTTTCTTTTTTTCCTCCTCCTATCTTTTTTCAAAGCGCAGTGAGAATGGGATGAAGAAGGAAGGTGTGCTGTCTCTGTCCTTTTGATTGCTTTCTGAAAATGTTATTTCTTGCTTTCCAAATGAAACAGTATAGAATATATTTTTAAGAGCTTCTGCTGAGAGTGGTGCTTTGGGTGTGTGAGAAGGAGGCATTCCTTTTGGTTCCATTTCTCATAATTATATCCTCTAGTTCTTGTGGTATGGAATACATAGCAGATTTGCTAGAGTACGCTGGAGTAGATTTGCCATAATCTGAATACTTGTGGTTCTGTCTTTTTGGTCTTGAGAGAAAGGGTGATCAGAGTTGGTTCTGTTACTTCTAGGAATTACATTGTTATCCCTTAAGAATTTAGGTTACAAAATTAAGAAATCTCATATGGCCGAGAGCATTTTGCTGTTTCTTGGTAGGCTGCTATTGCAAACTGAACTTCTGATAAATTTTGTTAGAGGACACTGATTATTTATTTTAGAAATACCCTGTTCTTTCATGAACACTCTACTAGATCTGTCATCTTTTGAGAAGAACAATGCCATAAAAGTCATTCACTGTAAGAAAAAGCTCCGAAGCTTCTGCTCTACCTCAGTCCCAGTTAGCTTTGTGAAAGAATGGGGGCTGTCCAGACACATAAGAGACCACAGGATGCTAACAGTAGGACTGTAAGAAAAGTATGAAAGATGCTGAAAAACTGAGGGGGGGGGGGGGGGGAAGGGTTCAAAACACTTTCAAAAGAAAACAGAAGAAGAAATCCAAATTCTTCAAAAATAAGTTTTCTCTCAGTTGCTGCTTTTTTGCTGAAAATATTTACATTGAGAGGGGGTAGAGATAACAAACTCGGAAAAGAACTTTCGTAAAACTATCAGTGAAACCAATTGTGCCGTGTCTTGAAGGAGGCGAAGTCGGCCAGGTCCTCAGCAGCCCACCAGCTGAGGACAGCCTCCCTCCTTCCCCCCGCACCGCAGGAATGTCTGGCGGCCGCCTGGCTTTCCTTTGCAGGGAGCGGGCTGGGAACTCGAGGCCACTATCCAGAGCCATCAGTAGGTGGCATTACAGCTCCTAACACTAACTTCGCTGAAGGGCAAATGGCTCATGACACAGTTTGTTGGTTTTTTTGAGTCCTGAAGACCTCATTTGGTGCAGCATACAAAGGAAAATACGGTCAGTTCCCACAGCAGCTCTGCTCCTACCACAACAAGGACTAATGCTGTCGCGATTTTTTCAAATTGCAGCTTTTGTATACACTGAATTTTGTCTCTTTAATCAAATTCCTTTGTTACAAAAGAAAGCCGTTGTTACAGTCATGTATGTACAAACACACGTGGTGTATATTTGAGAAAGACTGGTTTTCAAAAGGACTTAAGGCTGCGTTTTTAAGTCAAACCAGGTACACTGCTCCTGCCTTTCTCCGATCCCAGTAAGCACTCTTGTTTTGTAAGATTAGCTTTGAAAAACTACCCCAAATTCAAACTTACGTGTTTGCATAACTTTATTTACATATGAAAGACTGAAACCTGTGGTATAACTAAATTGTTGAGGCTCAGAGTGAGGCAGCTGGCATTTATCTACAGCAATAAATACCAATTGTTAAGCCCCAGTTCTTGCTTATGGGCCAGGGCTATGTTGCTGTATAGCAACGCCTATTTGCCGTTTGGTCTTGCGATGACAAACTGTAATTCATTAATGCCATTGTTCTTAGCCTTGGCTTTGGGAGAATCTGTTTTAGCCTCTCAAGTGAAATGGCATTTAAAGCTCCGATACAAACATGTCAGAGAGCCTGATAAAAACAGACTTTTGGTGGGCAATTCAGAGGCCTGGGATTTCTCTTGCAAAGAAATTTTAAACCCTGCTCACCTCTGATGCAGAAGGTGCCTTAAAGTCTGTGTCTGTCTAGAACCAGTAACACTGGTCTTATGGAATAACTGCAGTTCTCAGTCCTGGCAAAATCAGTCTCAATAAGAGTCACAGGGAATCTCCAGGTGTTCTCACTGAAGCAGGCCAGCAGAACATGAAAGCGTTTATGGTGGGATGTCTTTCTCCTTTTTTTTTTTTTTAATTTTTTTATTAATTCAGTTGTTTTATAGCTAGGTCACTTGAGTGGAGGGCTGGAACAATGTGGCCTTGAATCCTCTCAGCTAGAAGAGAGAATTAAAAGTAGGTCTGCAACATCGAGGCTGAATGTTAAACCACTGAACAATTGAATAAGAGAGGGTGGAACCATCAGAAGCAGCTGTGTTTCTTATTGTGCTGGTTTTTTTTTCCTCCTTTTTTGGCAAATGAAGGAGCTTAGGCAATTATCCCAGCTGAAGGGATTAAAGAGATCAATTCTACCTGAAGAAAGACTCTTTCCTGCTCTTCAGGGTGAAGTTCCCAAAAGCTATGATTCACAAGTGGAGCTAATACACTTGTTTTCTGTGGTTGCAGAGGCAACAGAGCTGAACCCTAAATGAGTTTTAGTTTATAAACTGTTTCCTCTCCAGGACTGTTTGTAAACATTTTCCTCTGCCTAGCTGTTTGTGAGAAGCAGTGCCTCACCAGGGGACTGTCTCACACATCCTGCATCTGGCCTAACATCCCCCCTCCACTCCCCATCAGGGTAGGTAATAACTTGTAAAAGTTGTCACTGCCCTTACTCTGCTTTAACATTGTGCACTGCAAACTGCTGTGGCTCAGCAGCTGATTATCCTGGACCAACTCAGCTGTCTCTGTGCTGGAGGCAGGAATTTTGTAACCTTTGCTGTCCCTATTTGTGAGGACAGCCCTAACTCCTGCAGCAAGAGCAGTGGTGACTCCTTACCTTCTCTTCAGTATTTCTTGTTGATGAGATTCAGCAGATCCTTACTCAGTATGCTTGTTGTAATAGTTACTAATTTTAATGCCTAACTTCCCTAGATGGGGAGAGAGCAACATCTGTCAATCTGGAAAGCATGCCTCACTGTGAATAGTACAAATGATGTCAAACATTCTTCCCTGTCACCCAGATACCACATGGCGGGTATGTAATACGACAACATCCAAATGTCAAATAGAATGCTGCTTGGTCTAAAAAACGTGAGAGCCTTAAGAGAATTCCTGTCACCAGGGTGGCATCTAAATACTAGGCACTTGGCATGACCTTTGTGGACTGTTTCCTAGCGGCAGGCATGTTTTATATTGCTATTCAAATAACCATAGCTAACTGCTGACTCATCTGTAGTTCCACTCTACGCATCCCACTGCTTAAGTATAAAAATTACGTTAGTAGCACTTATTAGCTGTGAAAGGAAAACTTAACTAGAATTTCTATGTAATCATCACAAGATTGGAAGTGTAATGTAAACTTGAGTATTTAAAAATATAAAAAAGCGTTCACACAACTTTAATAGGAATGCATACCAGTCCCAGCAGGCTTCTTTCAGTGAATAGATAAAGAGTTGCAAATTAAAGATACTTGCAGCTGGAAACTTCCTTTCCAAATAACTGCAGGTCACCGTGACATTGGAAATGGCTGCAAAAAGTTACAGTGAGACTACAATCATTGCACGCTGCCAGCCCCCCACACACACATAGAAGATTTCCTTGAGAAATTTGCTCAGCTCTATGCCCCGCAGCCCTAGCAAGCTTCAAAGCTATAGGGCTGGAGTCAGTTAAAAGGGGAGTTAGCAAGATAAGCTCTTGAACTTTGTGATACATTTTTTGAAGAAAATTAAATGGAACAAAATTGCTCGTAGTCAGTACTTGCCTGTTTCTTTTACTGATTTAGGGGATAAGGTGTTTTATGTTCATTAGAACCTGAGATACATGTTGTACAAAACTCAAGTTGTAATACTGTTATTGCTATCCCCTTGGCAAACAGGCGAACTTGGCCATGATCTAAACACTTCTTTGCCTACCTCCCTCCTCTGAGAATTTTCAATTATGCAATTTTCAGTTGTCAGAAGACAACATTTCTTTCAGACATTCTTTGACTCTTTTTTTTTTGTAACTAACTGAACATAATCTAAGAATTTAACTAACAAAAACTAGTTTCTCTGCCGTAACATGTGTAGGTATGCAAACCGCATCTGTCTTGCTGGTGTTTGTTACTGGTGCTTTTTTAGCACATCCATCTACTCCATGGCTTCTTTGCCTAGGTGAGGCAGAGAACGGCCACGCTGTTACAGCTGTATTTGGGGATGTCCTACCACGTGTAAACCTAAGAGGAAGGAGGATTCATCAAACTTGTACAAAAGGATGAGTAAGGAATACACTGAAAAACACAGAACTCTTGATTTACTGACTGGAAGATGACTATGGGCTACTTGAACCCCCAAAGAGGAGGATATACTGTTGCCATGAAGTGCTATTTATAACTGCAGGATTAACAGAAACCCCACCTGGTAGTAGCTACAGCAGAATTTGGAGGCAAGCTGCGGTGGGGCTTGTGACAGTAATCATAAGACAGTGATGA